GTCCAGTGGAAGGTCCGCGGGAGGACACGCGGGAGAGCGCCCAGCTCAGCTCCGACCTGCGCCCGTGAAGCCTCGTCGTCGCCGGCCCCGCCGCGCGCCCGCCCTCCGGCCGCCTTGGCAACGTCGGCGCTCAATAAAACGTTCCTCCAGAGCGTGTGTGTGCCGTGATCTACTCCGCCCGCTCGCCCTGCTCTCCCGTTACCAAGCAGGCATCCTGGACGTCTCCTGCTTTTTGTTTTTGACTTCAGCGAATACCCTGCCCCCCGTGCCCCTAGCCCAGGTTCATTCATCCAAGTTGTTGCCTGGCTTGCGCCTCTTCGAAGACACCCTCCCTTCCTTCCCTCCCTCTCTTCCTCCTCCCTCCCTCCCTCTCCCCCCCTGCTTTTGATTGATCTTGAGGTAGGGGCTTCCAGGTGTGGAGGATGGTTATCGAACCAGCAGCCGGTTCTCTTCAGGTGTTGGCGGCGGCGTGGTCCAGCACAGAGGCCGGCGGCTGGAGGCAGCACTTCGCCCTCTGTTCTGGGTCTTGCACTCCTCAAGTCGTCGCCGAAATCCCCGTCCTTCCGAGAATTCGGTAATGTAGAGTGTGCTGTACGCTATTTACCCCCCCCCCCCCACTCCCACCCCACCAAAACCAGGTATAAGAAGATAATCTCTGTGTCTGAACTTTGGAAACAGCCTTCTTCTGTATGGCGCTGGGGAACGTGAACACGTTTTGTTTGAATCAAACATTTTTTAGAAGAGTATGACCAGTTCAGTTTGATTCGGTTTTAAGCTTGGGCTCCGTGGAAACCCCCAAGCAGTCACTAGCATGAGGTGGTTAGGAGGGATGTTTTTCACAGGGTTGGCTGGGAAGGGACGCCAGCCTGTTGGATGGGGTACAGGGAGGCTGGCCAGGCATGCCATTGTGTCCCTAAGCTTGGTCCCTGCCTTGGGGAAGAAGATTGTATTGTTTTGCCTCTGATACCTCTCTATCTCCACCTTCCTCTTTCCTTAGGAGGAAATGCACCTTTTATAAAGGATTGGAACAATGGAGGGACACTTTATTAAAAACAGAACATTTTTAGATAGAAGTGTTTGAGCCCTGTGATTCTGCTTTTAGGCAATGATTCACAATCTGGGAAATGTTACTGAAATTCCTCTTGTTTACCTTCCTTGTTTTAGAAAGCGGCAGGTGATTACCAAAGAGGCAGGATCTAGGTGCATAGTATTAGCTCATTCATAAATCTTTGAAATGAAGACTGGGTTTTTCCTTGATTAACATAGCTTCAAGTATATTGACTAAAACCATTTTCTTTACCATGCTGTTTGTATACTTTGTGTGTGTGTTTCTGTATATGTATGCGAATGCCATTTGAGAAGGTAGTTGCTTAGAACTGTCTTAGGCCATAGAAAAAAATATGTGTGATATAAATATATATGTAAACACATTCTGTAAAAGCAGCATGTAATTTTTTTGTGTGTAATACTCAAGATTAGATAAACCAAGTGTAATTTTAATAGTTTTTGAAATCCTTTCCCAAGGGCAGCATTAAGCCCCCCCCCCAACATTTAGAAAGTTTATAATCCGGGACAATTCCCTAGATGAGGATGAAAGGAGGAGCTGGATACCCATTCTGAGGCTGAGAGGAGGCACCTGTGGCTCTAGATAAACATTGGTACAACTTGTATTTGATCCTTGACCTAAATAATAACACTACTTTTTTGTTAACTTATCTTTGTTTATGTAGTTTGTTACAGACTTAAGAGATTTTAGACAGTCTTTGCTTTCAATTTAGGAATGTTGGATTCTAAGTGGTAGGAAAATGAATTACAAAGTTAACTGTAGATTTGTTAAATGTAGAGTGCTAAAATGGGTTTGTATACCTTTAGCAGGCCCTGAAGGCCTTAGTTCCAACCTGAGGCAGTGTATGCTTCTGCTACAGGGACGCAGACACCTTTGTTAATTCTCAATTTTAAGTTGCATAATTTTCATAGTTGTAGATTTTAGGAGGACCACTTTGCATTGTGGCCTCTTAATATGTTGGTATTTTTCTATTTTCCCTTTCCCATAATTTTTTTTTTTTTTTTTGGTGCTGGTACCTGAGCTTGAACTCAGGGTATTGAAACTGTCCCTTAGTTTTTTTGCCCAAGGCTATGGCTCTTCCACTTGAGCCACAGCTTCACTTCTGGCTTTTTGTTGTTTAATTGCATTTAACAATCTCATGTACTTTCCTGCCAAGGCTAGCTTTGAACCTCAATCCTCAGGTCTCAGTTTATGGGTGACAAGTAGCCAGGATGACAAGCATAAGCCAAAGCCACTCGTGCACAGCCCTAATGATTTTATATGTCTTAGAATTGAGGAGATATGCAACTTTTGTAGCAGATGAGAGTTTAGAGACTAGCTTTTCAGGCCTGTTTTTAGCCTTCCAAAGTTTTGAAAATGGTTTCCAGTTCCTCCAGTGTGACTCCTTAAAATTGAGCCTACAGAGTTTAAAGTTAAAGACACCATGTTGAGCCTTTCACCTATCTGTTGTAACATTGGGGGAGTCCTGTGGGAAGATTTTTGGGGTCTAGTATGTAGAATAACTAGGTGATGAATGTAGTCAATCTAATTTCTGTTTTCAATTGATTGTAGTGAATCTGTGCTTTTGTTGTACTTGCACACTTATGCATGTATGTGTGGAGATGTCCTTCCAAGAAATCTATTTGCAGGTCCCATTCAGCTTGAATATTGGCCAAGACTTCCCCTTACAACCCTCCAAACTTGGAATTGAACCCAGGGCCTTGTCATATGGAGCAAGCATTCTACCACTGACTCTTAATATGTGTGTGCAAAAACCTTGTAATTTCCATATTCTCTGTTTTTGCTTTAGCACTAAAAATTAGATAAAAGTGTGGTTAAATTCTGAAGTATGACCCTGTGAGTTGTGAAACTAGGGCTTTTAAGGTGAGGACCAGTCATTTAAACATGACAAGTATTTGAGAAAGTAATTGCCTAGAGTAGTCTTAAGCTGAATTTACAGAAGAGTCTCTAAATATTTGAGAAGCCCCGTTATCCTTATGTCAAATAGTATCAGAAGAGTTTTACTCATTTCTGGAAAACATGGTATTCCAAGGCTATGATGCAGGTGGTCATAAACTGCAGTGGAAAGACCAAAGCTGGATTTTCAGGCAGTCTCAAGTGGAAACCCTTTCTACAAGAAAAGGCTTGCCTATGAGATAGTGAGCACTCTCCTGCCTTTCCTGACCCACCCTTGCAGAAGGAGCAGTCAGGTGGCTAAGGGGTCCAGGAACTGTGCATTATGACAGGTCAGTGGATACTGGTTCTTGAGTCTGGAAAGATGGCTGATGCCATTTGATTGTACTTTGTAATTGGAGTTTGGAGATCGGTATTTAATTTCTGCTAGGTAAAAGAGTGAATTGTCAATACATGAGTGATAATGCTGCATACTGTGGAGGAGTTTAGAAAAATAGACATTTTTTAGACTTGGAATGGGTGTGGGAAGAGGAATTTTGGGGAGAAAAATCTTTATAGTACGTCTTTCATATTCTCTAGGAATATGTTATCAGGTCTAGATTGTGTTTGCTCAGAAGCTGATCACAGTTGGGTTAAGATTTGTGAATGCTCTGAGAAAATATTTTTTCTTAGAATAATGTCATCACTCAGATTTTTATATGAGAATGGTTTAATAACTAGCTTAATTGATGGATAGGTGTACAATAGTATATCTTTTGCATGTTTTCTAAAGTAGAAATGAAAGAAGTAGATAACTACTTCATTAAAACAGATGGAGTTAGTTTTATGTTCAGTGTTTTTCCTCCCACTTTTCTTTGAGTCAAGATCTTTTGAGGCTTAGTAGAACTTGATAGCCTTGAGCTAGCCTCCTGAGTGCTGGGCTTATAAGCATGTTCCACTACTCCTGGTCTCCCCATTTGTTTTTAATTTCCATGGGAAGCAGATCACATTTTACAAAAGCTCATTAACATAGTTTATAGGCTAAGAATTTTGTGATGCACTCTTTAATATAACATATGACTTGGTAATTAGATGTAGTAAGATGTAGGAAACAGGTTTTCTGAATGAGTCTCAAGAGTTCTGTTTTCTCTACACTCAAGCCTTTGTGATTGGATAACCCTGTCAAAGTTTGTGTTTAGTTTAGAGTTTTATTCAGCTCGGATATTCTGAAAGTAATACAAAACATGTGCCTTTTTCTCCTTTTTTTTTTTTTTGTGCTGGTCCTGGGGCTTGAACTGGGCACTGCCTCCGAGCTTTTTTGCTCAAGGCTAGTGCTTTACCACTTGAGCCACATACCTACTTCTAGCTTTTTTGGTGGTTAGTTGAAGATAAAAATCTCTTTCCTGCCCAGGCTGGCTTTGAACCACAACCCTCAGGTCTCAGACTCCTGAGTAGTTAAGATTACAGATGTGAGCCACTGATGCATGGCTTTGGAGACAATTTGAGGTGAGGGGGCTACTAATGAACTCATGTATGGGGCTGGCCAAACCCTTTGTCATTGCAGCTTGACGACCTTTGATAGGAAATGCTGAAATCCTTGCTGGCTGCTTATGGACACATCAGTTTCAATGGAAACTTTAAGGCAGTCTTGTAAATTGCTTTACTTTTCTTTCTGTTGGGCTCTCCCCAAACAGTTGAGCTTCTGTCTTTCTATTTGAAACTACATGTTATATTTACATTTAGTATTAAAGTTTTCTTGGGTTACAGCTTATTGCCGC